AGCAAGAAAAGAAGTAGCCAATATAACAGGCCTTTTTAAATTTAAAAAAATATCTTTAAGCCAAAATATATATATAAACAACAGCATACTCATGCTAATTTTAGAGTATAGACTTATGATATCTTGTTTAACCAGAGCCCAATATAATAGGATACACCAACCTATGGTGTGTCTGACCAAATAGAAGTTGTTATTACCCTCGACAACAGCAAATGCAATTCCTAAACACCCAGAAATAGTGAATTTCAAAAGTTTGTAAAATAGACATATAGAACATCATTTCTCAGAACTATTAGTAAGAATAAATACAAAAGAGCCAATGGAAAAATCTACACTAATGAGACTAAAGCAAGAACAATTAAAAATGGGTACAGCCAAATGCATTCTAACGAACCAAGCACTACTAGAGAAATGTGAAACTAAATTGAAGAACCTGGGTTTGCAAATCTTATAACAAGCAAAGATGCTAAGCTTCTTGATAGAAGAAAATGATTTTACAAGAAGCTGGGACTCTGAGCCTCTACTAGGAATAAACAATCTCGAAGTAGCTAAGATTTTAGAGAGAAGTGATACTCCGTACGAAGAGTTAAATGCAAGCAAAATGGAGTTTTATATCTATTACAGCTTATAGCAGAAGATAGCAAGTCATTATATACATGGCAACAAATTAAGTAGATATACAATATAGACAAAAGAGAAAGAAAAACGAAATGGTTTAACAGCCTAGAAAGAGAAATGATCATAAATCCGCTGTCAAGAGAAGTCAAGCCAGAGTTCAGAATTGCATTATGCAACAAAAACAACTTCAATTTAGCTGTAAAAAGAGTTAAAAAAGATAAAAGAACAAAAGAGTGGGTTCTTTGAAAAGACAAAGAAAATGCAAATATTAGAGTAAAAAAAATTAAAGAAAAAGAAAACAAGTATGTAGAGGTTGAAAATTATAGTAAGATAACAGAAGCAAGTTCAAGTCTTGAACAAAATTCTATAGAGTATATTAGTAGACCAGGAATATCAATAGTTAAACAAAAAGAGCTAAGAGATATTATGAACTTTGTACAAAGAATCAAGAAAGAGACAAAATTAATTTTCAATATAGATACTCTTGGAAAAATACTAAAGAGAAAAAAGAAAAAAATCTTGGCATTACCCAAAGAGTTACAAAGTGTAAAAAGAAAAGACATACTAATAATAAAAGTTAAAAGATGAGAAAAATTATTAATAGATAAAGTAGTTATAGATAAAGAAATTAGAAATAGTTTAGTTAGAATTTTAGAGCAAAATAGAGAATTAAATAGTTTTTTGTTTTACACAGATGGCTCACTCGGGATGTCAAAAAATGATTTGAAAATGCAAATGAGTTGTGGAGTAATCCAAATAGATAAAGAGGGTCAAATTATTCAACAAATGGCATTTGCAACTAGCTAAGTTAGTAGTGATTCTCTTTGCCTTATTAGTAACACTTTACAAAAGTTAAAGGACATTCGGGTGAATTTTTTAACAATCTGGCAAATCTCAAAGCCAGAGAAGGTGCAAGCAGCTCAGAATTCTTGGTCCCAATATCGCTAAGCACAAAAGGATACAAACTAAGATTAAAATAAGAAAACGAATTAGTAGAAAAGCCACTACGATCTTTTACCAAGATGCTTGAAAAAGTAATAAACAGAGCAGAATAGACCTTTGCACACAGTACTTAAAATATTACTCACAAAGAAAGAAAGACTTATCAATGCTGGCCAATATTTTATAAGCTCTTAAGAAGTGGAATCAAGCAACAAAACCATATGTTTAAATCAAACAACAGTTAGCTCTTTAAATTAAAGTGCATAAATAATTTATTACCGACCTTTGAAAGACTAAGTCAGAGAAAACTAGATATTTACAAAATGGACAAATGTGTAGTATGTAAAAAGAAAATGGAGAATATTGAATATTTAGTTAGTTGTGAAGTTTTACTCAGATTGCTGCATAATATAGAAAAACAAGAAGTAGAGCTAATCCTAAAAGAGTTAAAAAAAGAAAGCAACACAAGTATAGAAAAGAAGGCATTCTAGTAATGTTAGAAACAGGAAGTACATCTGAAGAACTAAGAAGAAGAGAAAGATGGATTAGAGGCCTTATTATGAATAATAACTTTGAAGAGATTTGACCTTTCTTTGACTTTAACAACCAAGCAAAAAATTCATAATTTGGCTCTGGAAAAACTAGATAAAGAGGATATATGAGGCAATATAGGTCCCCAGATACAAACTCATACAGGAATAGAAGAAAGAAAATGGTATAGTGTTTAAAGAGAAGAAGAATACTATTCCAAAAGCCAAGCGAGGAAGTAGGACTATGAATTGATTCTAAAAATTAGAATTAATAATCGAATCCTCAAAATCGTTTTAGAATCGATGATCAAATCTTAAATATATTGTTATTTTTTGTTCTGATTTGCCAGATTAAGCTTTAATCTGTTTTGTGTTGTTAAATGCTATAGATTATTTGATTATATATATTTATAAATAATATAATTTAAGTTTTTATTAATGTATAAAAAGTAATAAATAAGCAATAATATATATTGAAAAATCGTGAAGAAAAAGTAAATGCCAAAAAACTTTACTCTAAAATAAAATTATTTCTGATCTATAAAAATATAATTTTTAAAATATGAATATTTCATAATTAAAAAATAAGTTTATACTTATTTAAGGACTATTATGAAGTTTTAATAAATATTTTTTGCTTTCAGACATGTAAGAATATAATGGCTATATTTGTTATTAAAAATTATAAGACACATTATGTTGTTAAAATTTTAAACCTATTATTTGTACTAAACCACTTTATAATATTTATTTAAATTTAATACCATTGCTATATTTCAATATTCTCTCTGTTTTCAGATAAGCGTATAAAAAATATAAATAGTTCTGTTTGTTATTATTTAGCTTTCTTCTATTAATTTTTTGCTATATAATTTATATATTTTCTTCAAAGCCTCTATAGCTATCTGAAATCACATCGTTGTAACTTATTAAAAATTATAGAGCACATTTTGTTTTTAAACTTTAAGCCCATTGTTTTTAATAATAAACACAACTTTATATTTTTTTACACATGCATCTAAAAACAAGAGAATATTTCTATATTTATTATATTTATTGAAAATTTAAACATTTAAATGTTTATTGTGCTTTGCAAAAAGATGTAAACACTGCAGATCATTTTTTCATATGAGAATCAGAGATTTTATAGATTTTTTGAGATTTTAAGAATCTTAGTGATTTACAGTTATCATCATCACTAAAATTACATGTTCACATCTTTTTGCAAAGCGCTATAATATAAAATGATTATATATTTAGAATCGATTCTAAATCTTAGAATCGATTTCAAAATATTTGATTGTTTGTAAAAATGATTAAAATGATTATACAGAAATGAGAATCAATTCTAATTCAATTAATAATTAAAATGATTATTATAGAATCGATTTATAGCACTATGAGGAAGAAAGAAAAAAAAGAAGGCTGTCGACGTAAAAAAACTGTATCTGACAAATCGCTCGAACAGAAAAGCAAGAAAAAAGAAGAAAGTAAAAGATGGATCACAATATTAGAAATAGTAAGAAATGAGGTATTAAGGTGGATTTTAAGTAGTCAACATGCAAATTGGTGGAAAAGTAATTAGTAGTCTTGACAGGCCATAAGAACCTTCCATCGAAGTATTAACTAATCCAAATGCAGGACAAGTTAATACAGAGGTAAAACTTACTATAGCAGGTCATATATAGGTGTTTATTGAATAACCAAATGAGCTAATACTTGTAATTTAGGTGTCAAGAGGAATAGCTTCTTGAAAAATTTTAATATTTCATAGTATAATATTATAAAACCTAATAAAGTAGAGGCAGGACTGCTGAAATTTTTTTTTTTAAAAAAAAGTACTATAGTATTATAAATTAAAACCCTTTTAAAATATATAAAATATATAAAATTTAACACCTTCTGGCTATGTATTTTTCAACAACTACTAATCCAAATTGAATGAAATTTTGTTTTGCAAATAGATATGATATTGGCTACAACATATTAAAATTTGGTTGATATTTAGTATAGGTGGGAATATATAAATAATATAATATTATTTGATATAAAAATAATTATCCATCAGATTACTATGATTGGGCTGCAAAATAACACAGGTTATTTTGCAGAAAAAGTTTATTTTGGTTATTTGGCAGAAATTGATAGTTTATTTTGGCTATTTGGCAAAAAATTGTAGTCTATTTGGGTTATTTGGCAAAAATAGTTCTGGGTTTTCAATTTCTATTTATTACAGCTACTTTTATAATTCTGAACCACCAGATAAATTATTAACAGAATGATGTTCCAGCTGATTCAATTAAGTTTGGGGTTTTGGCATAATTCATAATCACTAATATTAAAATTTGTTGAAAATGTGTTATGAAAATTTTTTATTGTATTCTATCTTTGAAAATGCTTGTGAACCTGACTTAATTTTTTGAACTGATATGTTTTCTAAAAATTTTTTTAAAATTATTTTTCAGTGAAGATACTGTACTTTGAAAGTATCTTATGTTAATTACATACAGTACAAACTTAATAGAATTTGCCAAAACCATTCAGTTAATTTTTATTAGGTGTTTTGGGAATTATGAAAATAGCTATAAATCATATAAATTCCGGATTTGAAAATTTTATTAATAAAACATGAAAAGTTTATAAGTTTTGCAGAATAAAGCAATTAATCAATATATTTAAATTTTAACTAGCCTAGCAAGGATCCGAAATATACATAGATAGGTTAGGTTTTAGTTTGCTTATTTTTGATCTTTTTTGTACAGATTATTTCTATTTGTAGTAATTAGTTTGCTTATTTTTGACTTTTTTTCTGCAAATCTTTCTAAATTTAGTAATTTTTGTAAAACCTTACATATTTCAGAGTCCTGCCGAGCAATACATTTTTTAATGAAATATATTGACTATATACATCTAATTTATATTAACATGCTCAGTGGTTATATAATAATTCTTAACTATAGAGACACTAGAAGTATCTTTGTTATCTTCTTGAGGCTTATAAAAATTATCTTTATACAAATTATCTTTCTGAGACTCATATAAATTATCTTCCTGAGGTACTTTATAAATTCTTTGATGTCCACCAATTGTAGGATTACGCTTCATAGCATTAGTATGTAATGTCAAATTTGTATTTGTAGTCTTGCATAATGGTTGATGAAATGGCTTCATTAGGTTAGGATTTAGTGTAGATGCTAGTTTGAATGAAGAAAATTTAGGCTAAAAAATATTAATATTTATATATATATTATAAATAAATTTTAATGCATACTTGTTTAGACTCTGTAATAACCTCATTATTCTATAAATAATTCAAATTTTTAAATTAATAATACTTTCAATATAAAAATATTTAAATTTTAAATTTTACTACCTTAATCGAAGCTTTTAATTCTTGTGAGTTTGAAGGAAGTGCACTAACACTATTGATTAATAGTGATAATGCATCCTCCTTTTGCTTATTAGAGAGACAAGCATAAATTCTGTAAGATGACTCACTTTTATATCCAGTAATAGATATAGTGGTACCCATTGCAACACCTTTCTGAAAAAGGGAAGTAATTGGAGTTGATTGATCTGAGTTATTTACAATATCACAACTTTTATATCAATTCCTGCTGCAGTATAAATGTTTTTCATGAAAGATCCACAAGACTTTGCTCCTAATCTTGTATCAAAATATCATGGATTCTTCAAATAGTCTAAATTAAAATAAGTAGTTAAATAGTTTTAAAATCATATAACAAATTAAAGATCTGTAGTTAACAATATACTTACCATTAATTTTATTATTGATTTTTATATATAAGTATGGGCATTTAGAATTTAATGGCCATTTTGAAAAGTAGAGCTTAATATTATAAACTGGACCTTGAAATTCTTCAGAATCAGGTGGAACAGGTACAATAAGTGCATCTAAATTACCATCTACTCGCCTTGATCATTTTTTTGAGAATATTTTTTAAAATTAATTTCACTACTAGAAGTAAATTCAAATTGCTCCATCAATATATTGTAGTGTTCACCACCATGATATTGAAAAAGTAAACAACACCATATAAACACTCAGTATTGTAAGCCCTGAGGAGTGTTATTTGCAACTGTATAGTGCTAAAAAATAGTTTGTAACTCTATATCGGTAAGATGATTATGATGATGAGATACTATTCCTTCTTTTTTAAGTTTTTTTCATTTTTTCATTTAAAGCATCTCATAAATAAGCGAATTCCTTTCTATTTGATATATTAAAAGACTTGGTACTTCTTGAATACTTTAAAATATAAATACTAAGTAACTTAATACAATTAATAAGAGAAGTTAGAGCATAATCTTTATCAGTATTGATTTGTTGAATCTTCAAGATAAATTCTGCCATCTCACGTTTAAACTGGTCCTTATCCATAACTGTTTCAATTTCATAGTTATATCTTACATTATGGCGCCAATTTTCTAAAATCTTTACCCACTTCATTGTTGCCTTTTGAGTGTTTTCAGGAATTGTACTATTAATTATCTCATTGATTTCAGCGCTAGTAGGTTTGTAATATTTATTTTTTGTTGTATTCATTTTTTTTTACTAATCGACCAAAAAAAGAAAATTGTAATTAATCCTAAATCAGTTAAATATTTATAGGCAGTATATATTATGTTATTTATTTTTAAACTTCTGTCAATATAAATTAAAATTTATCTATGAAAATTTATAAAATAAAAAATTAAATCAAATAAACTATACTTATTATGTGATACTCGATCGCCATAATCTGATGAATAATACTATTATTGGATGCTATGCACCAATAACAGTCGTATCTGGCCCAGATACTTTTCATTATTTGTTGGTGTGACAATAATATCATGATTACGCAGATCATGATATAATTGTACCACCTGCCAAATAACTTCAGTTATTAGATGCTTCGCATCCAATAACTATATATTATTTAAACTAATCTAAACAGATTTGAGAATAGTTAGAGTTAGGATGAAAGATTCTTTCTCTTATTACTAATACTCTTGTATAGTTTGATATTTAGATTCTAATACTTATAATTTAGTTTTTGATATTATTTAAACCTCTTAATTAGTTTCTTTCTTGCTACCAACTGTTCTTTCAGGAGAGCCAATCTTGATTTGGCTTTAGATGCTTTTAGTTTATCTTTTCTTAGTATATACTTCTGAAGTGTATGTTCTTTTTCTCTGGCTAGTACCTCTAGCTATTCTCAACATATACCTTTCAAAGAATAGAGCTCCTATTTTTTAACTTCTAGTTTAGCATCTAAAAGAGTTAAACCTTCTTCTATCTGATCCTGTTAGTAAAAGTTAAGTAAACCTATTAATACCAGACTAATAACAGTTGGTAGTATACTTCCTACTAAAAGTCTTGTATTGCTTGATTTGCTAATCTTGAAATCTTCATACTAGATCTATCTGGCCTTTATGTAGTACTAACAAAGATTTTTACTACTTTAATACTCAGGTTTTGCCAAGTTGGTTTCAGATTTTCAAGTCTATAATTAGTTTTATATATTTTTAGAAATCTTATTGTGGGTTTGCACCACCTATACCAGTTTGTATTTCTTTGTATAACTTAAGTGCTGCATGTATATCTCCAGAATCTTTTAGTATACAAAGTATATTAGTGTGACCATAGTTATAGACCCCAGAATTCAACTTATTAATACTATATACTTTCGAAATTAAGCACTCTTTAGAGCAATTTTTATAGCCAAAATTCTTATGATCTAATAATCAGATCTGCATAATTTTAGTACTATTCAAATCGTTTTGGCAAGTTGATTCAAATATTATCAAAATTATGTAGATCTGATTATTAGATCACAAGAATTTTGGCTATAAAAATTGCTCTGAGGGGTGTTTAATTTTGGAAGTATACAGTAAATATAATACAAGTTTGAAATATTACAATGAGATTCAAACTTGATGTCTTAATTACAAGCTAGCTTGGAATACAACAACTCAACTACTATACTATATTGCTACACCCAGAGTAACTTAGAGAAGTGTCATTTATTATTTGATTTTTTAGCAGGAGGTGCCAAAATATCAAGCTAATAGATCATATATATATTTTTATACATAATTGTAATCATTTGAGGAAAGAGAGATTTTACTATATAAAAAAAATGACATTTCTCTTATCTACTTATCATAGTAACTTATCTACTTATTATAGTAAGTTATCTATTTATTATAGCTATCTATATAGTTTTACTTATATAACAAATCTATGGTCTTTAAAGCTATATAAACTCTGTTTTTTTCTTCAAGACAAATTAGATTTTTCTATCCTGACTTTTTATATTTAAAATTTTTTTATCTTAAGTTTTTAAACTTAGATTTCTACCTCTAGATTCTGTTCTTTTATTTAATAAACTAATATTTACTTTTGGCTATATACTTACTATATTGTGTATATCTTTGACTCTTTGGTTATTATATTATAAAAGTTCTCTTTATTGTATTTTTGTTCTGATGTATATTTATATGAAAAATTGTAGTTATAATGAATTTAATTAATCTCTATTTTGTTTTGTTTTTATTTGTTTTTAATTCTTTGCTCATTACATTATGAAGACTCTTTTTATTGTATTTTTATTTTTAGTTTGTTTTCAATTCTTTACCCATTATATTGTAAAGGCTCTTTTTATTATATTTTTATTATTATGATTTTATTTTGATTTTATCTTTCTTGAGTATTTTTTTTTAGTTTTCTTGTGTTTTATCTTGTATTTTGTTTTAGTTTTTGGTTTGTTTTGTCTTTGTTTTTATATATTCCTTACTCTCTGTATATTAAGTCAAGTAGTATAGTTAATTTAATAAGATTTCCTATATTACAATATAATAAATTCTTTATAATTCTAATAATTCTTGAACCTATATATATTTTTGAATAATTGTTAGAATCTGTATTGATTAAATTTTCACTTAACTAGATATTTGTTAATATAATATTTCAGTAATTTATAAAAAAAATAAAATTTTATATACAAAAAAAAAGGATACTTATAAGTAAATGCCCAAATGTCTCAAGTAAAGTAAGTTTGTATTAATAAGATACTTTGAAGTACTTTTTGTTTAAGGCCTTTTACAACCCAAAATTACTTGAAAATGAGTATAACTGAAGAATGATTTTAACTTTTATATAAAAAAATGCCATACTTTAAGTTTAATTTTTGCCACTATATAGTTATTAAATCTATGTATTTTTGGTACAAAATAAGTCAAATGTCATTTATTATTTACTATTCAAAATATTTCTAATGACGGAATCTACATCATATGTTATACAAAATTAATCTATTATTAACTATTTAATAATACATCATTATTCTATCTAACTATTGTTATTGTTATTCCTAAATATTGTTATTGTCTTTTAAACACCATTCTTAGTACTCCCAGGCTAAAGCTTTGTACCCATGTGATCTTTCAAAGTTTTAATTAAAATCAGAATTAGGCCATTTGAAGTTAATTTTTTGGTTAACATCACTCCCCTTTGGCATCCCCTGGTAAATGAACATATAAAAAAAGTAAAAATTAAAAATTACTGTATAACCACGAAATAATGTGATGGAATGTAGTTAGGGTTGTGTTAACTTACCAGACAATATAACTTATATTGTAAGTTACATGACTTCATGTAAGTTACAAATATATAAGATGTTAAAGCAGGCCGGTATTAAGATACTTTGACCAGCATTGAGATGAAATAGAAAGAAAATTTTTAATTTTAGGCCAAAAGCTAAAGCAGGCCAACTTTAAAAATATTGGCCAGCATTAGATTAGTGTAACATTTGTAAGTTACGTAGGCTAAAATCTAACTTACATAAGTTAGGATAACTTACTGTAAGTTATACAGCCCTAGGTGTGGTTTCGAATTTCGACCTAAATTAAGCTTAATCCAGGCCGAAATTCGAAATAACTCTTTATGTGCTATTTTGCAGTTATATGGCAAATATAAAATAAAGAATTTTATATTTTATCGCAAATGCGATATATCGCACCCTATAAGATCGTGTGCAACATGAAATCAAAATAATAAAATTAATTCATTAGTTTAGGGTTAGGGTGAGGGTAGGGTTAGGTTAGGGTTAGTATTAGGATAGAGCGCTTTAATAAAGAGGTACTAACCCAAAATTTTGAAAAAAATTTTTTTTGTTAGAGCACGAGAGATGGTTTCATAGGCAAAATTTTGTGCTATATCCGATTTTTGAAGAAAAATCATAATTGCTTCGATTTCATGTTACACCTGATCCTGCATTCTAATTGGTTGA